TCTCCATCTCAGCTACCCAGTTATCCACGGCCTTGAAGGTCTCGGTGTTGTTCACATCGTAGGCGATGATGAAGCCTGTGGCACGGGGCACACAAATAATGGTCAATAAATGGCTAAATAAAATCATTAGAATAAATGGCAGGAATTGGTCCGTTGCTGAAAAACTAAAAAATCGCGGGTGAATGGGCGAGATGCGTACCATGCATGCCCTGGTAGAGGGAGCAGGTGATGTTGCCAAATCTCTCCTGGCCATCGGTATCAAACAAAATGATTTCACGTTCTTGCCGTCCACTTCGATTTGGCGTTTCTTGCCGGGCTGGCCGCCAGAGGTGGGGGCCGTGTCCTCCAGGAATGTGTCATCTATGAATCGAAGCATCATGCTCGTCTTGCCCACACCCGGATCTCCCACAATGAACACCTTGAACGACATGTTGTCCTCTGCAATTGCAATTGAAAAGAAATGAAGAGTATCAAGAGCATTAGTTTGATTTTCTTGGGGGATGTGATTGGCGTCGATGAAGAAAGAAGGCGATGGATGCAAAGTGCAAAACGAAACATTAACTTCCGGTAGATGGCCAAAAAGAAACTACAAATGGTACCTATCGAGTTCTTCGATCAAGCTGCTACGTCTGCGATCCTCAAAAGGGGCTGGGGCGATCGAACAGAAAACGAACAACGATTGACCCCTCTTTTCCGAGTGAAGAGCCGGTGCGGTGGGGAAAAGAAAAGCAGAACCTGAAGCGAAATAAGTGTTGGTGTTACCTTGCGGCACGTGAGGCGACGGTATGCTCAAACGCGACCCAAACTCGTACAGGTTCATTTCCTCGCTCGCTCGTGGTTCGCCAACTCACTCTTTCTCAAGACGCGCAAGACACCTAAACTGAGACCTGGGGCTGGGCACTGCAATAGTGGGGGCCGGCCACGGCCAGGGCGCAAAGGGGGGGTTGATGTGTTTTTCATTATCTAACTGTACAGCTCTTCGGTATATACAAAGCGGCAGAGCACGCTTCGGTACGAAGGCAAGAGAGAGCACCGCGAGTGTGAAAAATGTGGTGTATGATGAAAGGTGAATGGAGGACAGTGTTGAATAAATAGGTGAGGGTGAAAAGTGAAGAGTGGCGAATGGTGTGCGGTGCGAGTAGCAGCAGCCCTAGAAGCTGGGTCTCCTGCGGTTGAGGATGTCGCGACGAGTCGAGACGGCGGAACCGTTGGGACCCATCAGCTCGTCGGGGAAGGTGACCGCCAGGCAAGGCAGACCGCCCATGTTGCTGAGGTCTTCGTCCTGGTCCTGGTCCTCCTCGGTCTCAACCTCGCTGTCGACGTCCTCCTCGTCGTCGCTGTCCTCGTCGCTGGCGTTGAGCTTGTTCTGCAGCTGCGCGACCTGTCGAATCCGCGTCTCCTTGTTCTGGTACTGGAGCACGCATTCCTGCAGCGCCGCGATCCACTCCTCCTTCTTCTGCAGAGGGGTGATGGTTTCGAAGTAGAGCTCGGTGCCGTCCTCGAGCTTCAGCGTGAAGAAGAGGTCCTCGATCACTGCGAAAAGAAGGTAAGAACGGTATAAAGAACGAAAGCGAAAGCGAATGCGATGACGTACCATCTTCGGTTGAAGGCAGAGCGTGGGAGGCAAAGGACGAGTTGGAGGGACCGGAGATGATTCCGTTGATGGTGTGGAAGTCGATCGAGGTGGTCTCCACCACGCGGTCGAGCGAGCGCCACGACAGGCGGAGCTGGTCCTCGTCCTGGAAGGAGAGCTTCATGTGCATGATCTTCGAGCGCAGGCCGTGCGTCTCCTGGGCGTAGTACTTGACCATGATCCCGGTCTTGAGCGTCTGGAGCTGCTTCGATCGGAAAGTGTGACACCTGTCGCACACGCGCACCGGCGTGCGGCCGTAGTTCAGGTGGGGCAACGACATGCGCTGCTTCGTGCACGCGTAGCAGAAGATCTCGCCACATCTGCGGCAGTGGTGCTTTCTCCTGAAGGTCGAGAACTTGGCCTTGCACGCATGGCATTCGCAGGCCGCCGCGTCTTGCTTCCACCACGGGTTGAGGGCTCTGTGGCGTTGGGTTCACTCGGGTCAGATCATGGCCCAAGCACACTTTTCTTCACTAAGTGGAATGGCGAGACGCACTCGGAGGTCACGAGGTGGCTGAAGCGCGAGGAGAGGTCCTCGTCGCTGAGGGCGTTGGTCCACGAGGTGGAGATGGCGGCGGTCATCATTTGGGCCTTGTTCTCGGGCAGAGTGTCCAGGGACCTTCGCGTGTAGCAATTCGAACACTTGGTGAGAACTGGGAACCAACGAGAAAAAAAAGAGGGGGGGGCGAGCGTACTGCAGGAGCTTCTGCGAGGGCATGTAGATGGGCGCGCTCTTGTTGGTGGTGGTGGTCTTGGGGCTAACGGGGGAAAGCTCGGGCTTGGGCTTGACGAACTCAAGGCCCTTGGTGGGGAAGTGGGGAGGAGCCTGGGGCTGGGCACGGCGGGGCGAAGAGTAGACGGCCCCCATGGTGGTGGTGGTCGGTAGATCAAAGGCTTGGGCTAAGGCGAAGGCGGGTCAGTTGGGGGCGGGCAAGGGGTGTTGATGATGGCGGTGGTGAGGAGTGCGCCCCTCCCGTTACTGTGGAAGGGCAATAGGGTGGTGTGTTGGGTTGGCAAAGTTCAAAACAAGGGAAAGCTCTTCACCGCGACCCGATGGCCTTATGACCCCTTTCCTCATCTCCTCATGATGGCCGTGCGCTCCCTCAAGTCCACCCCGAACCTCCCACAGTCTGGCTTCAATCTTCTTGGGAATTTTGCCAGGCTCCCTCCGGCCAATGGGATTGGCAGAGACCACACCCCGAACAACTCCGATTGGCGATCCCACAGTATCATCCGTGCGTCCCGTAGGGCCATCACGAGTTCCTGGCCCCATACGCAGAACTTTCGCCTTACCGCATCAACCCATCTAGGCCCGACGCCATCACGCTGTGCGCTACCGAACTCGGCGAACGGGTCGCTTCCGCCGAATTCCCGGTTCTCCTCGCGGGCCAGCGAGCCAGCTCGGACGAGATCGGGTCCGAGGGCCTCGTCGGAGAGCGGCGGAGGTTGCTGGTGGAAGACGGGCGAAGGGGGTTGGCGCACGGATTGTCGGGCGTGTCAAGAACTGGGGTGGCCTGAACTCGTCACTCTCGACCCGAACCGCTCCGTCCGACGGCACACGTCATTCATGGGCGTGACTGCCACTGTTGCGCCGTTCGAGCCTGATGATCATGCCAAGTTGATTGACGCTCGCACCTCGAAAGCAAGCGAACGAGGGTTGGAGCCTTGGCGGACCCAGCACTGCGGAAGGACCTGAAGGCGTGGCGATGGTGGACGAGCCCCACGCGCAGCCAAAGGAGCGTGGCATGGAGGAAGGTTGGAAGGGAGGTGGGGCGGAGAGTGCGCAGATCACCACCAAGGCAGTGGCGAAGGTGATTAGTGCAGGCGAATTTTCTCCTGTTTAGTCGCACCAACCAGAAATCAGAATCTCTCTGTTGGTCCCCTTTTTATCTGTTGGCCAACGAGAAAAAGTTTAAAAAAACAGCACTGTTTTTTGATCGTCAGTGCGAAGCAAAAGATGGGCGGGTGCTTTGGGAAGGGGCTGACGAAAACGGAGATGGCCATCGTGGAGGCCCGAGCGCTGCAGAAGCACGACCATGATGTCAACGAGGTCAACCTGCTCCTCGACGATCCCTTTCCCTCCCATGTGTGGGAAGAAATCACATCGCTCCTCCGCCTCCCTCACAACCGCCAACAAATCGAGCTCCTCCAGGTTCGCATGATCTCCACTATTTATTTCTATTTTATTTAATATTTTATTCCTCTGGCGATTATTTATGTATTTATTTTATTTTATTTAAGGTGCGGCCGGACGAGTATTGGGACGCGCCCACGTCCGGGCGTGCGGCGTTGGGCGACCAGCGCATCGAGACGCTCGCGGCCGCGCTGGCCAATAGCTCGACCGAGGAGCGGGCCTGGCGCGATGCGGCCCAGATCGCGATGGGCGATGGCGGGAGCGATGGAAGCGAGCAGAGCCAGGAAGCGCCTTCGCCGCCGGCGCTCAAGTCGCTCTACCTGGACTTCAACAACATCGGACCCGACGGCGCCAAGCACCTCGCCCGGATGATCCACCTGATGGACCACCGACAGGCGTGCGCGCTGGCCACGCTGAGCCTCAACAACAACCGCATCGGGGACGAGGGCGCCATCGCGCTCGCCCGGGCCATCAGGGGCAACCACAGCCTGCAGCGAATTTTCCTGCGAGACAACGCCATCGGCCCCGCAGGGAGCCAGGTTCGAGCGCACGCACACGACACACGACACACGACACACGACACACGACACACGACACACGCACCACCGCACACGCACACACTAACGGAAGTGGAATGGTTGTGTGGCAGGCGTTGGCGGATGCGGTGGCGGCGAATGGTACCTTGCTCGAGGTGGACATGGCGGGCAACCAGGGCGAGGCCGCCATACAATCGGTACGCGTGTCCCACTCTTCTCCAACTCTCCTCTGATAACTATCAGGTCTAGCGTCACCCTAACGACCAACGATATATACACCGACCAGATCGCAGATGCATTGGCGCGAAACAAGCGACAGTGAAGATAAAGAATAAGACAGGTGTATGTGTATAGACAGGAAGAAACGATGGGTGGGCGGCAAACATCAGCAGTTCTTCACAAAAATGATGAATACAACAAGAAGACCGAAGAAAGCGGCGAAAGGGGGTGAACAGGTTGGAGGACTGCTTGCTGCGTGTTCATCTGGCGCTTCAAGGCGGTGGCCCCTGTGGCGCACAGGGGCATGAGCGGCTCGGCCTCGAGTTGCGAGTGCGCGCCCGTGTGCCGGCCGATCACTCGGAGGCCATGTCCTCCAGCATCTCGATGGCGATGTTGATGTAACTCCGAAAATTGTGCATGACCGATGGCAGGGTGGACAAAAACGTCATCGTTTCCATGTAGTTCAGCTTCGTCAGCTTATCTGCGCATGCACCACACGACACGACACGACACGCACGACGCGCAAGACACACACGGTACGACACACGCGAGACGGCGATCCTGATGAGTGCGAGCACGGGCGCGGGTGGTTGAGTGCGAAGCATGGGAGGGAGGAGGGCACCTTGCTGGTGGCAGAAGATGGCGAGGGCCATGGTGAGAATGAAGTCGATGCCCTCGCTCAGGAAGAGGTCCCATATTCGGAAGACGAAGTTGAGCGGAAAGTTGTAGGAGTAGAGCGTCAAAAACCATTGGTTGGCGAATATCTCCACCGTGATCCCCTCTCGGTTCTGTGCGTGCGCACGCGAGTCGGCGTGAGGGATGGCCGGAACGGAACAGAAATGTCTAAGGGGGGAGGGGGCTTGGTACAAAGTGTTCGTCGAGGTCGGGGAAGAGGTGGGAGACCATGCTCTTGAAGTGCTCGACGCACCGCTTGAGCACGGGCGTTCCCGCTTTGTACATGCCGGCGACGAAGAACTTGCGCATCACCTGCACAAACATCCAGAAGGCGTGCTGCGTCGATTGCGTGGCGGGTGAGCGGTCATAGAGCAAGAGAAGAAGAAGAAGAAGAAGAACAGAGAGAATGTGCGGAGCCGGTTGTTGTTTCGTACTTCTTCGTCGGTGAGAAGGACCAGCACGCCGGCGATGAAGCTCATTCCCTGCTCGTAGGTGATGTTGGTGTACATGAGGCAGAAGGCCTTGAGCACGTTGAATATGCGCTGCTGCACCAGCCGACTGTCGATTCTGGAGTTGGTTTCAACGTTGAGTGAGCGACTGCGCGCCACGTCACGCGCTCGCCTGCGACCACATCGCACGCACGCACGCACGCACGCACNCACGCACACGCACACGCACACACACACACGCACACACACGCGCGCACGCACGCACGCGCCACGAAATGGCAGGGGGGTACCGTTTGCATTTGATTTGAGTGAGTCGTTCGTCGGAGAAGGTGCGAGCGAGGTCCTGGTGCAGCCGCTCTTCGGTGTGTGGATCCAATTCACGTTCGAGCATCGCCTGAAGCGCGCGCAACCGAACGAGCCCCAAGGCCGACGTGAGCGCCTTCGGCCATTTGGGAGACGGGCGAGAAGGAGGAGGAGGAGAGGGGCGGCGTGTACGGCATAGCTGTACGGCGAGGCCTTCTTTGCCTGGGCCGACCCCGTGAGGGCTTGCCATAGCAGAGACCGAAGGACATCGGGCACCTCTTGGTTCTTAATCTTCTCCCTGAGCTGTCGCGAGTGTGAGTGTGCGCTTGGCTCGCAAGTGGTGGCGGCGGCGGTGATGATTGGATGGTGGCAGTGGCGGTGATGGTGATGATGGTGGTGGAGGGAGAAGCGTACGCGTTTGTTGTTTTGTGGGTTTGTGTGATCGTAGGAGTGGATGAGGACGTGCCAGTCCTTCATCTCGTCATCGGGTATGAACGACTCCAGCACTGGAGCCGTCTGTATGTGCGCTGCTTCGATCACACAGCCACGAAACCGCGCGCACGGCCAGACAGACAGGCGTGAGTGAAGAACGCGGCAACACCCACCACCACCACCAACTACAAACCAGCGTCCACTTCGTTGGCGCACGTGGAACTGAACGCCCACGAAAGAGTAGTAGTGAATAAGCTGGGCAAGCTGCTGCGCTTGTCTGTCCCAGAATAAGACGTGAAGGAAGGAAAGTAAAATGTAAATAAATTAATTGATTGATAAATAACAACGAAAATAAATAAGCGGGCAGGGAGGTTGGGAGTGGTAAATACCCTTCTTGGCGCACATGTCACAGATGCGTACCAGCTGCTCGGTGAGCGAACCGACGACGATCAGTTTTATCCGCGTCTCGGTGCAGTACCAGCAGAACACTCCGCCACACGCCCGGCAGTGGTGCTGCACATGACACGACATAATACGCACGACACGCACGACACGCACGCACACGAGTCGCGGTGAGGAAACGGGCTGACGATGATGCCGGGACAGCAAGCAGTAAAGCTTCTTTCAACGGGTGCCGGTACCTTTCTACGGAAGAAGGAGAAGGCGCTGCTGCAGATGGGGCACTCGTGCACGTTGCGCTCGTCGACCCAGAGGCAGTTGATGCCCTCCACGACCTGCACGTTGCTCGCGGGGCCTCCGTCGGCTGACGGCGGCGGATAGGAGGGTTCGCGGGTCGGGGGCGCCTCGCCGGACAGGGCCAGCCGCCGTTCTCGCTCCTCCGCTTCCTCATCTCTCCCGCGCGCTACTCGGTGTGGTCGCTGTTGCTGTGGCTTGTGCTCTACACCATTCGAACCATCAGATTTGGCCTGCATTCGCTGCTTTCCCTCACGAATTCCAGGAGGTCTCTGCGATTCTTGTTCCATCTAAAAAGCAATCGATCGAAGCCTCAATTCATCTAGAGTACCCAAATGCTCGATACAAAGTGGCGACTTTGAATCTGTGCTCTCCTTTCTCCCGTCGGAGTGATCGATCTTTTCTCTTTTGCTCTTTGTATTTTCTCTTTTTAAAAAATAAACTGCGCCACTGGGCCGGCGCCAAATCAAACATCCAATCAAAAATCATGAACAAGTGTGTCTGCAAAAAAGGAAATGCCGGTACCTTATTTATTTGTTGCCGTTCTTGTGTTTCTCTATCGTCTACACCCCCACGTTTCCAGCCAGGGCAGCACTGCACCCGGTGTCCCGCCATGCAGACCGCCAACGCTGGCTGAAGAAGAGACTAGGTACACCCTCCGCACCCTCTTCCCACCTCTTCGGCCGCTACTGCGTCCAATGATGACCAACAGGCATTTGTCCGATTGATTCTCAATTTGACGAAAAAACCCGCTACCTTAATTCGTCTGAAACATCTCTTCTACATGTAGTGAACGGCTTTTGCGCCCAACTCGCATCTTTCTAACGATTCTCGCTCTTTTCTTCAGATCGTAAGGCCTCCGGAGTTGATCAGTGCGATCGCCGGAGCAATGCCTCCCACATGACTACCGCGGCCGTGCGTTTCCTCCACAAGGGTAAGCATACCCGCCCACAGCAGATTGCGTTCTTCTTTATGATGATACAATTATCGCCGATCCCAAGCCTGAGGACAATTGACCACAATTCTCTGAACATCAAGCGATTTTTTTACACTTGCACTCCTATCAACCAAAATCTCACCCATTTCTCAATTTCAGATCTCCGTTTGGCATAGCAAGATGTCTACCCTCAATCGCATCAGCAAGCTGTCCGCACTCACCGGAGTGGTACGCACACTCCCGCTTCTGTGTCCACTCCGTTTTTTTCGCTATGATTCAATAATTTGCGTTTGATGCCGTGGCGTGGTCTGCTTGCCTGCATGACCTCAAGCGTCGCGAGCATATGTAACCAAACTTGTCTATGAGCTTCGCTCTGTCTTTCTTCGACACCCACGACTGGCCAGCTGCCAATCAACGGAAACTGACTCTGTCTTCTCCCTTCAGGCCTGCACTGCAACCCAGTCCACCCGGTAGCTTAGCCCTGCATACCTACGGCCGGAGCCGAGACCTCAATGGGTACGTTCACTCGCCACCAAACATCTTTTTCTTCTCGTGCGTGCGTGAACGGTAGTCACGTTGATTAGAAAACGAACCATAGCATTACCAACAGCTTTGATGACATAACTCAAGTACCATCCATAGAATATGAGTTACTACCCGTTTACACGTTTCCATGTCTCCCCTCTCTTCTCCCACCGCCCTCTCTCTTCTCCTTCTGACCCTCTTCTTTCCTTCTTCAGCTTCGCCTGGACTCTCGCGAGCAGCTCCTTACTGGCCCTGACTGTTTTACCACAGCACCAATAAACCTCATTTACCACCAAGACCAAGCTCCCTATCTTGTGGGTGGGGTGTGATGATCAATCCAAGGCGAAGCGTGTGTGTTTTGTCGTGTGTGTACGTCCGTGTGTGCGTCCGTGTGTGTGATTGTAGGAGGGGAGGCCAGTTCTTCTTCTAGTCATCGTGCATGAACGACTCCTGCAACGCGAGTGGGCACCGCGCACGGTAGGTTGCAGGTGGGAATGTGGCAACAACCGAGCCCTGTAGAATGCACAAAAGGTTCGCTGGCTCTGCATTTACACACAACGAAAGGAGGCCATTGCGTCTGGGTCACTGCGTCGTGTTGTCGCTGTTGCCGCTGCTGCCTCCAAGGCCAGCGAGCTTCTCGTAGCGGAGGGGGTCGACCTTGGTGTCGAACCGCGGCGTCTGCGAGGCAAACACCGACGACGCGCGCTCCCGCCTTCGCGGCGATGCCGTGGCGACGCTGGACGACGAAGACGCGATCGAGCTGGCGGCGCTCTTCTCCCTTACCGATCCCTTGCGCGGGGTGGTGGGCGCGATGCTGGCCCTGCGCAGGGGCGACGCCGACGATGATGACGATGATGGCGTGGCGGTGGCAGACGACGACGAGCTCAGCGACGCGATCTTCTCCCGTCCGGCCAGCGTCGCCCGGCTGCTCAGCTTCGTGGTCGCCGGCCGCGGCGTGCCGACCGAGGTGTTAACCTGCGACCGCCGTTTGGCGGCCTTCTCCTCTTTGGCCTCCTTGGTGGCCATGCCCTTATCGGACTCCGGCTGTGTCTTGGCTTCGCTCGGTCGCTTGCCGACGACCATCGAGGCGGGTCGCTTGATCTGCGCTGTTCGCACGGGCGTCCGGATGGGCGTCGTCTCCTTACCGGCCGTCGCCACCGAGGCCGCAGCTCGACCGGTGGTCTTGATCGCCTTCTTCTCGACCTCCTCCGTCTGCTCCGTGACAGCCTCGCGCTCCACTTCAACTTCGCGGTTGTCGCCATTGCTGTCGACCTTCCTTCGCTTGCCACCACCGCAGTACTGGCACTCGTTCTCATCGGCGCCGGGTTGCTGCTGCGCGAGAGCGAGGGCGCGCTGCAGCTCGTCTCTTAGGCCGCGGATCTCACCCTGCAGCTCGGCCTCCTTCTCCTCCTTGGACTTGAGCTCCTTGTAGGCACGATGCACCTCCTTCTCAAGGCAGGCCTTCATTCGCTCCCATTCAGTGGCCTCGATTGTCATCTCTTCCTGCATGTGCTCGATCGCCTCCTGCAGCGCCACGACGTCGCTTCGGAGCACCTGCAGCTCCTCTTCCTTCTCTTCGATCTCACGGCCCAGGCGGGTGTTGTCGCCGCGGAGCGCGCCCATGAGGCCGTCGAACTCCTCCTCGCGCTTTCTCTTCGACTCGCGCTGGCGTCGCTGCGCCTCCTCCTCGTTTTGCTGCGCGACCTCGGCCTGTCGGCTCTCCCACTCGGCACGCTCGCGGGCCAGTCGGGCCTCGGTCTCCCGCTCGAGCTCCTCTCTCACGGCCGCCAGCCGGCTGTTCACCAGCGATTCCTCGCGCTGCTCGTATTCGGCCCTCATCCGCTCGGCGATCTCGGCTTCGAGCTGCTCCGCCATTCGTTTTCGCTCTTCGTCCCTGGCGGCGGCCTGCTTGACGTGCTCCTCCTCGCGCTGGGGAGACGCGCCGAGCTGCTGCTGGTCGTCTTCGGCTTCGAGGTGGTCGTCGCCGTTGAGGATAGATGCCCTCTGCTTCTCGCGCATCTCCTCACGCAGCTTGCGCTTGTCCTCGAGCTCCTTGCGCAGCTCGTCGCGCAGCACCTTGCTGCGGATCAACACGGCCTTCTTCCGCATCTCCTCCTTGACGTCCTCGTAGCCCTCACTCAGGAACTTGTTCAGCTCCTGGAGCCGCTGAATCTCCTCCTCGCTCTGCTGCTGGAGCTCGGTGTGTCGCTTTTGCTCGTCTCGCTGCGCAGACACCAGGCTCTCCAGATCTGCGCGGCCAAGGACAAGTCAGTCGTGGCGCACACGCATACGCACCGCCGCACGCACACGCACAGACACAACTCATTATACCGAGCTTCTGTTTCTTGAGGGTGTGCACTTGCTTCTTGCGTGCGTTGTACTTGTGGTAGAGCGCTCGGATCATCTCCTCGAGCTCGGCGACGCGCGCCGCGTTCATCGCGGCCTCCTCCACCGACACAGCGTCGGGCAGCTCGTCGGCCAAGCCGCACTGCGCTTCCTTGGCCTTTGGTGTGGACGGACCTGTGCAAGTACGTGCGCGGTGTTAGCGCCAATCTGAGCAAGCACACAGTGCGTCGCTGGTGCGTACGAGTAGCCTCGGGCTGGCTGCGGTTGGTGATGTTCTCCTTGTCTTCTTCCTCATTGGAGTGAAGCGAGCGCAGATCAGCCTCGAATTTCTGTTTGAGGTTGCCAAATCTTCGGTACATGGGCCCGAGGCGTCTATATCCCTCTTCTTGGCCCTTCAACGATTCGAAAAGATCGATTTTTTGATCCTGGAGCGCAACCAAGTCAGTCGGACGGAATAGTTGATCAAAGAATTGGTGTGCAACTGCGCGTACCACTTCAGCATCGTAAATGCTCCGCTTGCGCTTGGAATTCGGAGTGAGGTTCGAAACGCCTCCGGTTTCGAATGCCTGGATCTTTGATCTGAGTGCCATCTTCTTCCCCACCTCTCACGCCCTTTATCGATGCGTCTCTCTCTGGTAATGATGGACACTCACACAATGCAAGCGAAGCCACACTGGTGGCGCAGGTTTGGTTTTGGCGCGAACGCGTTGCATTAGATTTTGGGCGGGAAAGAACTCAACATTTTTGGCATGCCTTTCAATCTTGCAGGTCTTGGCTACCAATCCTGGTCGTGACCACTCCAGAAACGGAAACACGAGAACAAGTCAATCTACACCCCACATCTAATCAACAACCAACCACACCATGCGCAGTCAAGCGATCAACGTTGCCAAGAGGAGCACTCCCGCTACTTGCGCCTTGGCGCAGCGTCATCTGGGCGCCACTGCTGTGGCCCTGACACATTCTCAAGGTGCAAATGACCACGTCTCTTATGCCCTCCCTTCTTCAGTCTTGATCCACCCGCCTCTTGCTCGAAAGCCCCTTGTGCGCGCTTTTTGTGAGGATTTCTGGTGCTTAAATTGGCGAAATGTCTGTGTATGCACAGTGAGGCTCGCCCACAAGAAGATTGACGTCAAGAACCCCGTTGTGGAGCTTGACGGCGATGAGATGACCAGGATCATCTGGAAGAGGATCAAGGAAGAGGTTAGCTGCCGTGCCTCCTCTGCTGCCGCATTATTTCTACCTGCACTGCAGCACATCAATCTAACCGTTTATTGCCACTACGCAGTTGATTCTGCCCTTCCTGAACATCGATCTCAAGTACTACGATCTCGGCATCGAGTACCGCGACCAGACCAACGATAAGGTTACCATTGAGGCTGCCGAGGCCATTAAGCAGTACAACGTCGGCATCAAGTGTGCCACCATCACTCCCGACGAGAACCGCGTCGCTGGTACCCTATCCTTCGAACGCGTCCGTGTGTGCTGACTATCCACGTCTTCTCAATGACGATGCTGACCGGGCTCTGCACGTCACCAGAGTTCAAGCTGAAGAAGATGTGGAAGTCCCCCAACGGTACCATCCGTAACATCCTGGGCGGTACCGTCTTCCGCGAGCCCATCATCTGTAAGAACGTTCCTCGTCTCGTCCCCGGCTGGAGCCAGTCCATCGTCATCGGCCGTCATGCTCACGGTGACCAGGTACCGTGCGGTGTCGCATGCTTTTCTCTATACCAAGCAAGGACTTGACGAGCGAGCGACTTACTCACTATTGCTTCACAGTACAAGGCCACTGATCTGGTGGTGCCCAAGGCCGGCACCTACGA